TTAATGTGGCTTACAATATGGCAGAAGAACCCCAAAAGTGAGGTGCCTTAAATATCTTCCCCACCAGCCTGCCAAGGTACCTAAAAACTCATTCTGTAAACTTATTTGTATTGAAGCTTTTTCTGTTAAAATACAACACCTATAGGCCTGTGGATAAGTGCAAGACTTGTTTGAACCAAGACGCCAAGGTCTCCAGGTACAAAACAAATTCTGCTACCAGCTGAGCGGCCGGTGCATAATCACGTGGCTTCTGGGACTCCATTTCCTAACAGATGTTAGCAACAGGATGCACCTCTGTGGGGGCAGTGGCTAAGTAAGTCGGTGTACTGCAGGCCTTCAAAAACTGCAACTGCGAGTGTCGTAGAAAGAGCCTTACCTACAGGGCTCTGTTCTGTCCTGATGAGGAGGGCATTTTCTGAGGCTTAGTCCTGAAAGGGACTGATGGGGTTTCACTGTCTCCTGCCTCCTTATATGCCCATCAATCAAACACACGTTATGCAGGGAGGATGAGCCGCTTAGAGGAAGGGGTTGTGGAGCCCAGAACTGGATCCATAGCATGTCCTTTGGAAGAAAAGGAACTCAGGCCCTGTCCCTGATCATCCCCATACCATCCCACGTCCCTGCTCGGGTTTGACCGCGTCTCAGCAAACCCCGCCTTCCTATCCAGATCCGTCCTGGGCGTATCCTCTAAGTCTGGCACCGAGGGGCCACTCGCTCCCCTTGGGAGGACGATTCAATAGCCAGCGGACGGGAAAAGTGACACAATCGGAGCGGCGCCCTCCGCCAGCCTCCCCCGCCGCGCAAGGCTGGGGCCCGGCTGGACGCTGCGGACTCCCGTGTCCCGCCCGCCCTCCTCGGGGTCCCGCGCGGCCCGGGGACCTGGCGTGGGCGGCCGAGATGCACTTTTCAGGAACGCGGCGGCGGCAGCGCGGTCCCCGGGCACGCTCCCAGGACCGCCGCCCCTTCGGGAGCTGGATGACGGAGTCTTGAAAGACTTTCACCAAATATGGGCCGGGGCTGGAAACGTCCTGTGCCGCGCGTCGCCGGAAACCTCGGGTCCTGGCCACGCGGGGAACGCGGCGCGGGGTCCGGCAGGGGGCTGCGGCGACTGGAGTCTCATGCCCATCACGGTGGCCTAAGCCGGGTGCCCTCTCGCCCTCCCGCCTCCCGCAAGCCCGTCACTCAGTTCCCGACTGCACCCCACCAATATCCCAGCTCCTCTCCCTCCATCACGCCTAGGTTGTGGAAGTGAGGGCAGTGAAAAGGAGTGCGGAGAAGTGGGGTGATGCGAGCCCACCACCCGAAAGCTAGCTTCCTGCAGACACTGCCAATTTGGCTATGAAAAGTGGAATTGTAAATACAGTACTCAAAAAAAAATTTAAGTGAAATTGTGAGAGTGCGTAAGAGAGTATAGGATTATGGAAAGAGGAGGAGAGGAGGAGGAGGAAGAGACGAGGAGGAGGAGGAGGAGGAGGAGGAGGAGGAGAAGGAGAAAACTTAGAAATGAGGAAGAGGAGGAGAGGGGAATGAGGAGGAGGAAAAACTATTACAGTCCACAGTCACTCTGTGGTCCAGGGCAATGGTTGGTAGGGTGTGAGTCTGAGACCAGCAGTCCTCATCACCTAGGGACTTGTCAAAATGCAGCTAAGAAGAAAGTGGTGGGCCTAGCAATCAGACTTTCAACTAACCCTCCAGTGGTTCTGCTGCCCGCCAAAATCAGAGAGTCTGGAAAGTAGGAAGCTGGAATGGACAGATATGGGATTATGAACATTCTCAGTTATGCCAGACAGTGAAACCTTCTTCAGGTCATCTACACTTGCCTGGCAGCTGTGAGCCAGACTCTCTCCATCACTTAGCCAGAAGCCAGGAGCTGCAGAGGACAAGCAGTTCCTTTTCAGTGGCTTGCAGTTCAAGGAAACAAGGCGGCTGCTTATCCCCTCCTGGGGCAGTATAGAGGGGGAGGGAGGGGGAGGAAAAGAGCCATACAGAATGAGAACCCGAAGCAACACTTACCCACACCATTTGCACATTTCCCTTCCTGTCTGTCAACAAGAACTGCTCTGTAGCTCTCAGCGGAGGAGGTGAGAAGGCGACAGCACGTCTGGGGTTTCTGGACCATCTTAGGGCAGTACTTGAGGAGCCCCGCTGTTCTGCCTGTTATAGTTCACTAGCAGGCGAAGCAGGACCTGGTGGCTCCCCCACCTCCTGGCCTTGTGGGCTCAGTTTTCCACCCCCTCCCACCACACACTGCTGCTTTAAACGGGCAGCTGATGGAAGTGTTCTCCAAGCTGCTCCTCTGGGGCAAACCCACTGAAGTCCCTAGTTGAAGTCCAGAAACAAAACCCCACACACATCCTCGTTAGAAAACCTTAATCTGATTTTTAAAGGCATCTGTGGAATGGCGGGTCTATTTGAACGCTGTGCACATACTGGACCTCTGGCCCACTCCCCCTACTAAAGGAACACGGTATATTCTGGCCAGTTGGATCATCCATTGTAATTTTATTTTAAATCATAATAGACAGATTGAATGAAAAACAAGGAATTCCAAAGAATTTCCTGCTCTGGGAACAGAAGTTAAGTCTATATTTAACAACATTTGAAGCTGTCAAGAATGCCTTGTGGTTGGATAACAGAGGCAGAAAAATGTTAAAAACGCAGGCTACTGCTGTACCCAAATATGGAAATATTGTTACGTCTGGTGTCTGATTCACCATCTGGAAATACTTACAACCATGAAGTCAAATAGAAAAGACGCTGCAACAGAAGCCAGGAACCCTCCTCTCCATGCTCTTTCTCCAGCACCTCCTAACACCGAAGGCTGCACCTTCTCCACCCCCCACTCCACACCCTCTCCTCCACTTCTCTAAGAGGGAAACAATGAACAGAGAACAACAATTTTCTAATAGATGATGAATTCACTGGCTCGGGGGTTTAGGGCCAAGATGTTGCATATTCATTTGCATAATACCTGACAATCCATTGTCTTGAAAAGTCCCCACCCCCAGAAAGCCTTAGAGATCCTTTGCCTCTTGGACTTGTGAAAGGCCCTTTTGAATGAATGAACTTACTCTTTCCTGCAAAAGCTGTCTTCATCCCAGTAGTTACTCACTGTGCTCACTGGAGTTGTTCACAGAAAAGTCAGCTCCAAGGCCTTTTCAGGCAGGACTGCTAAGCTGTGAAGACCGAAAGGTCCTAAATATTGAAAAGTTAGAGTAGCTATCCCAGAAATTTTTTTAAAAGGGGGGACCCTAACATTATTTTTTATTAAAATTATACAAGAAGATGGAGTTTGAAACTTTCCAGGAAAATCTATCAATGGCACCAGCAGTATAGGTGATATTTTCGTACCTTGCCTGTGAGGAGTGTGTGCCTAACAAGACGTTAAAATCCAACTTTTTTTTATTTCAATGTTACCCTCTAAATCCCTTTATTGAGAGAGAGAGAGAGAGAGAGAGAGAGAGAGAGAGAGAGAGAGTTGAAATGGAAGGTTTCCAAATGGTCCCAAGCAAAGAAGTTACGCCTCCCAGCAGCATGGTCTTTTTTCCAGAGATCCAGAGGGCACAAGGTACCGCTGGAATCTGTTTGGGCCTGGCAAGTGTTTGCATGTGACGATTTTAGGACAAATCACTCCTCGGTGGTCCCCTCCGCTTCTGGTTTGGCTGCCTCCTTCTCACCCAGTCGGTAGGAGAGAGGCCAGGAGGGCTTACCCGGTCTCCCGCATCCGTGAGGAAGTGGAAGTCAGGGCTCCGGGAGAACTCCCTGCATACGTTTCCTCTTGGACTTCCAACCCAGGCAGTGGGCTGGAACTGAAGTGGGAACCTCCAAAAACAAACAAGTACAACATACCAAAAAAGAGGGGAAGGGAGGGGGGAAGACCTCTGGCTGGAAATCTGCCAGGCTAAGAGGGAAACTGTCACCCCCCCTTCTCATTCATAAATGACACTCGGAGTATTAATTTGCAATACACTTCACTTGGCTAATAAACATCATGGCATAGCTTTGGGACGTGATCCGAGTATGCCTCTTTGAAGTCCACAAATAGCATCCTGGCTCACAGACCAACTCCCCCTCCCAGTTGGAGTCTCAGTAGATAACTTGACTCTCACCTTCATTGTAAACAAGCAAACAGCTCGCTGTTTTCGGGGTGAGGGCTTCCGAGGCTGCCCCATCTACTCGACACCGCCAAACAAAACCACTTTTGTTCCTCCCTTTGGGTCCTCCCATCCTCCCCAAGTCCAGTCCCCCCCACCACGCCCCCCTTCCATAGACTCTTCAATCACAATCATCACCATCACGCCCCAAGCATCCCGCCCCCCATCCCCCATTGGAAGTCGTTATTTAAAGTGGAAAAAACGAACTGTTTTCATGACGGGTCCGAGACAAAAAAAAAAAAAAAAAAAAAAAAAAAAAAAAAAAAAAAAAAAACAAACAGGCAGTTGGGAGCAGCTCAATACTGTATATCTGGCTTTGGCCATTTTAAAAGGCAAGATCTTTAATAAAACAAAGACAAGACTTTGGGGGACATTTATGGTAAACCTATAACCAACAATATTATACTAAAATGAAA